AGCACCCAGTGGTGACAGGGAAAGAAAGGTGCAAAACGCAAATGTCTATTCTCACGCCTGTTACCTGGGCTCTTCCCCAGCCTGTGCAGAGCGCTTTGGCTTTACCTGTTTTTTGAACCTCCTGCCGCCCTGGGGGAAGGAAGCCTTATTGTACCTATTTTATAGATGAAGAAACTGAGGCTTAGTAACTTTACACCAAGGAGGGTGAGGTTTAGAGATATCGGGGAGATGTGAGAGAGGTGACGAACTGGCTGATCAAAGCCAGAGCAGGAGGGTCTGAGATGAGAGAGAAAGTGAGGCTGAGCCCAGAGCCGGTACAGCCCAGCAGCAGAGACAGGGTGTAAATGAGACAGGAATATAAAAAAAACAAAAAAAAAAAAAAAAAAAAGTGGATGTGGACATCAAGATATCGGGGAGATGTGAGAGAGGTGACGAACTGGCTGATCAAAGCCAGAGCAGGAGGGTCTGAGATGAGAGAGAAAGTGAGGCTGAGCCCAGAGCCGGTACAGCCCAGCAGCAGAGACAGTGTGTAAATTGGAGACAGGAAAACACTACCCAGGCTGGAACAATGGAGGGTGGAGACGGCAGCCTTTATCCACCCCCTTCCCAGAACCCGGGCATCCTGTCCCCAGCGTGCTAGACTGTCTCCTGCCACCCATGGGTCTCACCTTGGGCTGGCCAAGTTCCCACCCACCCTCCACCCTGTGAACATCATCTGGTCTCTGGGAGGAGACCCGCTCCTCCCTTGTCCCCAGCTTCAGCCCTCAGGTGTGCAGCTGGCTCCCCGGGGGCTGCTCTCTGTTCCTCCCAGGTCTCTGACCTCCTGCCCACTCCCACCCCCCACAGTACCCTGGCCTCAGAGGGGATCCCCCTCTCCCGCCCTCTCCATTGCCAGGGGCTGCAGAGTTTCTCCTAATCCCCTCTTCTGCCAGCACCCTGGCCCCCTCCCCATGATGCCGGAGCCCAGCCAGGTGTGTTCACACCCCTCCCCCCTACACACACACCCCTAAAATCTCCTCCCCTTTCCTTCCCGTAACCAAATCCAGATGTGAGGTCTGCGAAGGAACCAGGCGGGAACCCAAGCGTCCTGGCCTCCAGCACTTCCGCAAATGGTGGAAAGGGTGTGCCTGGGGCCCAGGAGCTGGGGAGGGGGGCTTTGGTGTGAACGAGGGCGGGGAGCCCTGGAGGAGGAGTGGAGCTGAGGCTAGGGGATGTGGGGAGCCCAGATGCCCTCTGCCCATGTGTGGTCAGGGCCAGGCAGGGTCAAGGCAAAGCTCTTCTTTAACACTTTCTCCCCACCCGGCATCCTTCCACTCCCTCCTCCCGGATGCAGCCATTCTGGGAGGCCTTGGGGTTGAGAGTTCTCCAGGCCTGCTTGGGGGCCACCCGCTATAGGGGTGGAGGTGGTGCTCAGTGTAAGTGGTGTGAAGCTAGGTGAGTGTCTGTCATTCCAGTAATCTGGGAGAGGCTGAAGCAGGCAGATTCCAAATTCGAGAGCCCACCTTGGGCAACTTAGTGACTTAGAGAGAGTCCCTGTTTTAAAGAAAAAAATAAGAAGAGGGCTGGAAATATAGCTCAATGCGAAGGCCCAGGGTTCAATCTCCGGTACTGCAATCAGTCAGTGGATAAATTAGAGGAGGATGCTGAGCTCGCCCCTTCCCCTCTCCCCAAAGCTTGGAGCTTGTAGAAATTCCCAGAGCCTTCCTGACCACCCCCACACCACACACACTGACTTTATCTCTTTCTCCCTGCCTTAGAAACCCTACTAAACACAAAATTGGAAACTACAGATCTCAAGTGGGTGACGTTCCCGCAGGTGGACGGCCAGGTGAGAACTGGACCCCAAAGGGAAACTGAGGGAGGATAGAGTTGAGGGTGCCACCCCCACCCCTAGACAGAAGCAGCCCCCAGCTCCAGTGACCCCTTCTTTTCTCCCTGCAGTGGGAGGAGGTGAGCGGACTGGACGAGGAGCAGCACAGCGTGCGCACCTATGAGGTGTGCGACCTGCAGCGCTCGCCCGGTGTGGCGCACTGGCTGCGCACAGGCTGGGTCCCTCGCCGTGGTGCCGTGCACGTCTACGCCACGCTGCGTTTCACCATGCTCGAGTGCCTGTCTCTGCCCCGGGCTGGCCGTGCCTGCAAGGAGACCTTCACTGTCTTCTACTACGAGAGCGACGCCAACACGGCCACGGCGCTCACACCAGCCTGGATGGAAAACCCTTACATCAAGGTACCCAGGCTGAGGACACAGATTCGTGTGCTCCCAAGGCCCTTGGCAGGGGCTCCGGGGGCCTGAGGCAGCTGCAAGCTGAAGTTTGGGGAAGCAAGAGAGTGCTCTGGGCGGAGGAGCAGCAAAATACAGATGGTGCTGCCAGTGTGGGGTAGGGGGGGCCACCTTCTCTTTTTTTACAGTACTGAGGTTTGAACTTCAGCACTGAACTACATCCCCAGCCCTTTTTATTTAATGGGTGGTTTTGATTTTGATTTTTGAGGCAAGGTCTTGCAAAATTGGTAAGTTCCCAAGGTTGGGGTTGCACCTGAGATCCTCCCGCCTCAGCCTGCAAGAGTGCTGAGGTTATAGGGCTGTACCTGCACACCCTGCTCACTTCACCCTTTCTGACTGCACCAGGTCCTTCTGCAACCCCAGCCAGTGCATCAACTGAGGATTCACCCTGGTTGCTTCTTGCTTCTACCAAGCCCCTACCTGTCTTCTCTGTTCTAGCTGCCAGTGCCCTGTGTGCTGCCTTAGCTAACTGATTCTCCCTGCCATGGTCCTGCTGCTCTGTCCTGAAAGGAAATTCTTTCATTTGCCCCCTTCCTCCTCCTGTTTCTTCTTTATAGTCCTAGGGACTGAACCCAGGGCCTTCACACTAAACTACACACCTAGTCCTTTTATCTATGTATTTATTTATTTGGTACTGGGGATCGAACTTGGGCCCTTGTGCTTTCGAGGCAGGCACCAGAACCACTGAGCCCTAGTCCTTTTGTTTTGAAGCAGGTTCTGGACAAGTTGCCTAGGCTCGCCTTAAAGTGGCAGTCCTCCTGCCTCAGCCTCCCAGAGTGTTGGTATTTCAGGCATGCACCGACACACCCAGCTCAATTCATTCATTTCTTCTTTTTTTGTTTTGTTTTTGTTTTTAGCACGGGGAATCAAAGTCCGATCCCTGTGCTTGTGAGGCAGGCGGTGGAACCACTGAGCTAAATCCCCGGCCCTCAATTCATTCGTTTCCGTCTCTCCTTGCCTCTGAGATTGGGACCTGGCATGGTGTGATGATAAATGTAAAGTGGCTGAGAAAGGGTGCAGGACAGAGGCTGGACATGACCTAGGGGTGCAGTGAGGATTCGCCTGTGAATTCATGGCCTAGGCATGCAGCTTCAGGGCCTGTGGGAAAGAGCACGTTGGGGTGGGCAGGAGAAGGTTCTAGAACAGGGAGGTCAGGGAGGTGTCAGTGGGAGGGTGACAGTGCCCGGATCCTGAGGGGTGGGGACAGTGAGTCTTCTCCCTGCAGGTGGACACGGTGGCTGCGGAGCATCTGACCCGGAAGCGTCCCGGGGCCGAGGCGACAGGGAAGGTCAATGTGAAGACGCTGCGTCTGGGCCCGCTCAGCAAGGCTGGCTTCTACCTGGCCTTCCAGGACCAAGGCGCCTGCATGGCCCTGCTGTCCCTGCATCTGTTCTACAAGAAGTGCGCCCAGCTGACCGTGAACCTGACCCGCTTTCCAGAGACTGTGCCCCGCGAGCTCGTGGTGCCTGTGGCTGGCAGCTGCGTGGCTGATGCAGTTCCTGTGGGTCCCAGCCCCAGCCTGTACTGCCGAGAAGATGGCCAGTGGGCGGAGCAGCCTGTCACTGGCTGCACCTGTGCCGCGGGCTATGAGGCCTCGGAGGGGAACACGAAGTGTCGAGGTTAGCCTCCGGGGGACCTCAGCGTGTCCTTGGGGGTCCAGTCCTGCTCTTCCATCTTAGCTCTGCTACTTGTTTGTTTGAGATGGGGTCATGCTGTGTAGTTCATTCAGACTGGTCTTGAACTCACTGTGTAGCCCAGGCTGGCCTTGAAATCACAGTGATCCTCCTGCCTCAGCCTCCCGAGTGCTGGGACTACAGGCGTGCACTACCATACCTGGCCTGGCTGCCCTATTTTAGTTTTCTACTTTGAACTTTCCTCACTGTCTGGCATTGGCTTTCAGAGCCCTCAGCAGAGTTCTGATCTGTTCCTCATGTCCAGACTCTCTCCCTAACTGTCCAACTCCTTTCCTTTCTAAACACTTGCTAGAGGCTGGCCTGGGAGGCAGTCCTGTCCTTTAGCAAGGCAATACATTAGTGGGACCAGGATAAGAATATTATGGTCTCCGTTCTTGTTCATTTATGGTTTCTTCCGATTGACTAACAGTGAGTTCCACTTGCTCTTTCTTTAGATGAGGACTTCTGTTTATTATGAAGAGTTGATGGGCCTCACTATCTTGTCCAAGTTAGCCCTGAACACTTAGCCTCAAGCAACCCTCCTGCCTCAGGCTCCTGAGTAGCTGGGAATGCAAGTATATGCCACTGTACCCATATGTGGGCATACAGGACATATGTGAGCTGTGGTGGTGGAGGAAAAAGATGGCATTTTTGTTTTCAGTACTGGGAATTGAACCTAGGGTCTTTGCACTGAGCTACACCCTTAGCCCTTTTCTGTTTTTTATTTTGAGACAGGGTCTCATTAGCCCAAGCTAGGCTTGAACTTTTGACCCTCCTGCCTCAGTTTCCCAGAGTTGTGGGATTACAAGCGTGTTACATCGTGCCTAGCTTTAAAAATGACTTTTTATTTTCATGCGTCTTTGCCTAAAATTAAGCACTCACTCCCTGTGAGATGTGGGCTGCAGCCAGGATCTGTGGTGGACCTGAGGCTTAGACACACACCACCCAGAGAGGTATTCCGAGCCCTGCAAGTATCTCAGAATACTGGCTTTGCGTATCACAGAAGCCATGTGATACTGTGTCTCACGTTGTATCTTATCAAGGAAGCACATGGTGCTATATTGTGAGCTTTTTTTCTTTTTTTTTTTATTTGTATGTGTGTGTAGCACATAATGTTTACATCCCTTGGCGTGGACATTTCATTCCTTTTTCATCCCCTTTTCCTCTCTTCCCTCCATCTCTTTTGTTTTGTTCTTTTTTTTTCTTGAGACAGGGTCTCACTATGTAGTTGAGACTGACCTGGAGCTCACTATGCAGCCCAGGCTGGCCTTGAACTCACAGCGATCCTCCTGCCTCAGCCTCCCAAGTGCTGGGCTTACAGGCATGCGCCACCACACCCAGCTTTCTTCCCTCCATCTCTTGATCCCCTCCCCCACTGAGAAAGATCTGTCTCCCTACTTCCTATTATGTATTTTTTAAACAATCATGAGAAATATGCTACTTATTTATTTATTTATTTATTTATTGGTACTGGGAATCAAACTTGGGTCCTTGCGCTTGCAAGGCAGTCGGCGGAACCACTGAGCTAAATCCCTGGCCCATTTATTATCAGTTTTCTCATTTTGTTCTTTATATTTTTGGTTTCCCATATAAGAGAAGCTGGGTGATATTTAAGCTTGCGTCTGATTTATTTCACTAACATTATGGTCTCTGGGTACATCCATTTCCTACAGATGACTCAAGTTTATCCTTCCTTAGGGCAGAGTAGTGTTCCGTGGTCTGTAAATACCACATTTTCTTTATCTGTTTATCTCTGGATGGACATACAGGCCACTTCCAAGATTTAGCTTTTGTGAGTTGAGCTGCTATACACATGCTGTGCATGGATCACTGTAATCAGATGTCTTTAACTCTTTTTGGGAACATACCTTGAAAGGGAACAGCTGGGTCAGTTTCTTGGTTTTTTGTTTGTTTGTTTGTTTGTTTTTTGGTACTGGGGATTGAACTCGGGTTCTTGCACTTGAGAGGCAGGTAGCAGCACCAGTGAGCTAAATCCCTGGCCTTCTTTTCTTTTCTTTTCTTTTTTTTAATATATTGATCATTGTGTCTCAGCTTACTTGGTTTCCTTGATGTGTGTGTGTGTGTGTGTGTGTGTGTGTGTGTGTGTGTGTGTGTGCATTTTTTTTGTACTGGGGCTTGAACTCAGTACCTTCCACTTTTGAGGCAGGCAGTGGCACCACTGAGTTAAGTCCCCAGCCCTAATTCTAGATTCTGAGAGCCTTCTTCCATCCCCCTCTTGGCACTGCACAAACTTAGAAGGAGCTGCTTGTTTTTGGTATACTACTTGTTTGACCGAGAGTCTTGCTATATAAGTCAGGTGGGCCTCAAACTTGAGATCCTCCTGCCTCAGCCTCTTGAGCACTGGGATTACATGTGTCCATCACCATGCCTGGCCCTTGGTGCATTTTCTTTAAGACAGGGTCTCGCTTTGTAATTAAGGCTGGACTTGGACTCACTGTGTAGCCCAGGTTGGCATGGAACTTGCAGCGATCCTCCAGCCTCAGCCTCCCAGAGTGTTGGGATTAGACATACAACACCATACCCAGCCAAGGTGACTTGTTTGATAAACACTCTGTTCTCCCCCACCTCCAGCCTGTGGCCAGGGGACCTTCAAGCCCCAGTCAGGGGAGGGGTCCTGCCAGCCCTGCCCGGCTAACAGCCACACCAACACCATCGGATCCTCGGTCTGCCAGTGTCGCATCGGGTACTACCGTGCCCGCACAGACCTCCGGAGTGCAGCCTGCACCAGTAAGTAGCCGGGCCGCTCCTCGGGGAGTGGGGTGTAGACTCCCCGGGACCCTGCATAGTGCTCACCGGCCCTGCTGACCGCTGACTTCTGGCTCCCGCAGCACCACCCTCCGCCCCGCGCAGCGTTGTGCACCACCTGAACGGCTCTTTGCTGCAACTGGAGTGGAGCGCGCCGCTCGAGTCGGGTGGCCGGGATGACCTGACCTACGCGCTCCGCTGCAGGGAGTGTCGCCCAGGGGGTGCCTGCACACCCTGCGGGGGCGACCTAACCTTCGACCCCGGGCCCCGAGACCTGGTGGAGCCTTGGGTGGCAGTTCGAGGGCTGCGTCCCGACTTCACTTACACCTTTGAGGTCACCGCCTTGAATGGTGTGTCTTCCATGGCCACAGGGCCTGTGCCGTTTGAACCTGTCAATGTCACCACCGACCGAGAGGGTGAGATGTGGGAAAGGTCGGCGCCAGTGTGGACTGGCTGAGGGCTGCCGGGGGGCACATGGGCATGAGTGGGGGATCCCTGAGAAGCACGGAGCAGACAAAACACAGAGAGGGTAAAAGATGCAGAGCAGGGATGATGGCGAAGGCCTGTAATCCCAGCACTCTGGGAAGCTAAGGCAGGAGGATCCCAGAATTGAGTCCCACTTGGGCAAGTTAGTGATTTAGCAAGACTCTGCTTCAAAATAAAAAGAGCTAGGTGGCTCAGTGCAGGGACCCTAGGTTCAGACCTTAGTACTGTAAACCAAACAGAAAGGAATTCTTTTTTTGGTACCGGGGATTGAACTTGGGTCCTTGCATTTGTGAGGAGGCGGTGGAACCACTGAGCTAAATCCCCAGCTTCTTGCAACAGCCAGGAGACGTGTCAGGCATAGCCAACAGAGCGAGAGTTGGAGAAAATAAGGGCTCAATCTGTAGCTTGGCCTCATGGGTCTCTGTCTCTCAGTGCCCCCTGCAGTGTCTGACATCCGGGTGACCCGGTCATCGCCCAGCAGCTTGACTCTGGCCTGGGCTGTTCCCCGAGCATCCAGCGGGGCTGTGCTGGACTACGAGGTCAAGTATCACGAGAAGGTGAGACCACACGCTGGCCCTGGAGGCAGCGGAGGGCTGTGGGTCTTGGTCCTGGGTCGGGACACTTGAATTGCAACAACTGGTGGGTGTTTCAATCCTGCCTCGTATTAGCTGTATGACGTGGGCCATCCCCATCGCCTCTGGGCCTCAGTATACTCATCTATAAAATATAACAAGCTGGGTGTGGTGGCACACCTGTCGTCTCAGCATGCTGGGAGGCTGAGGCAGGAGAATCTCAAATTTGAGCCCAGTCTGAGCTCCTCCTCTTCTTCTCCTTCTCCTTTTTTTTTGTACCAGGGATTGAACTTGGGACCTTATGCTTGGTGAGGCAGGTGGCATCACAACTGAGCTAAATCCCTGGCCCTAATTTTTTTTTTCTTATGGTACCAGAGATCAAACTCAAGACCTTGCTCTTACAAGGCAGGTGCAGTACCCTTGAGCTACATCCCCAGCCCTCCCTAATTTAGCAAATGAGACCCTGTCTCTAAAAAGGGCTGAGGATGTAGCTCAGTGCAAAGGCCCTGGGTTCTTTCCCCAGTATTAAAAAAAAAATCATAACTACCAGTCACAGAATTGCTTCAAGGACTAAATGATATAATAAGTGCAGGACACAGCACAGGGTTGCCTGAATGGGCTCGAGGGCCTCAGCTGCCACACAACAGGACCCGGATGCAGCACTAGGGGTGCATGGGGGTGGCAGGGAGGCAAGAAGAGCAGCAGAAACCAGGACTCTGTCTTACGGCCCTCCTCCTTCTGGACAGGGCGCGGAGGGCCCAAGCAACATCCGGTTCCTGAAGACGTCAGAAAACCGGGCGGAGCTGCAGGGGCTGAAGCGCGGAGCCAGCTACCTGGTTCAGGTGCGGGCGCGCTCCGAGGCCGGCTACGGGCCCTTCGGCCAGGAGCACCACAGCCAGACCCAGTTGGACGGTGAGCGGGGCGCCGCGGGCAGGTGCCCTAGACACCCCCGGAATCACAGCCTCCTTGGCCTGGCCCAGCGAAGAGAAAATGCAGTGGTGAAACCAAAACCAGCAGCTAGGTGGGAAGGTGGCTTGTGGCTCCCCCGCCCCGGGTTCCTGAAAATGCAGTGGTGAAACCAAAACCAGCAGCTAGGTGGGAAGGTGGCTTGTGGCTCGTCGGCCACGTGACTTCCCAGCCACTTCATGCTGGAGCCCCCGTTCCCTCAGCTAATAAAGTGGGGCAATCGTAAAGCCGTTTTACAGGGTCATGAGGATTGTGTGTGTAACACCTGCAGGTTTTAATATGCTAGGCCAGTATTTTCTACACTTCATAATGTTTTCTGTTTTCGTTTGTTTGTGTTTGAGACAGGGCCTCATATAGTCCCGTCTGGCCTACTCTCTTTGCAGACTAGGTTGTCCTCCAACTTACAATCCTCCTGCCTCAGCCTCCTGAGTGCTGGGATCCTAGGCAGGAACCACCATACCCACCAAAGTATGTACTTTTTAAATAGCTCTATTGAAGAATGCAGTTCCCATGCTATGGGATTGATCCACATAAAGTATATTATTCAGTGACTCTTAATGCACTCATAGAGTTATGTGACCTCTGTCATTCAGTTGAGAACATTTCTAGCATCTGAAAAAGACCCTCTGGGTGTTACCCATTACCTCAGCCTCCCCATTGCCCCCAGCCCCTGGCAAACACTAATCAACTCTCTATTCTTATGGATTTGCCTCTTATGGATATTTTATACAGTGTGTGGCATTTTGTAACTGTTCCCCTCTTCCCCTGAGCATGATGTCTGTGAGGGCTGTTCAAATTGAGGCTTTTCTCAGCATTCCACTCCTTTTTATGACTGCATAGTCTTCCGCCATGTGGGTGTAGCACTTTTTTTCATTCATCCACTGATAGACATTTGAGTCGTTTGCATTTGGTTAAAAATCCTTTAGTTCTTTGTTTTTGTTTGTTTGTGTGTGTGTTTGTTTGTTTGTTTGTTTTGAGACAGGGTCTCACTATGTGGTTGAGACTGACCTGGAACTCACTCTGTAGCCCAGGCTGGTCTCAAACTCACAGTGATCCTCCTGTCTCAGCCTCCCAAGTGCTGGGATTACAGGCGTGTGCTACCATGCCCGGCTTCCTTTAGTTTTGTTTTGTTTTTTTTCACATGTTCAAGGTACATATGAGTATATTAATCATGGGGAGTTAGTACATGTGTATAACACAATTTAATATTTTATGTTCCTTTTCCCTACCTTGCCTCCCTTTATCTTTGGAATCTTTCATTCCAGTGAAACTTTTTGTGGATACAAATACAAAATAAAATTAAAGCTGCTTTGGGAGCAACAAGGCTGGCAAGCATCCTCCCTTGTCCTGAATGGCTTTGGAGGAGCCCTGTCTGCCATCACACTGGGCTGGGCTCTGTTCTCCCAAAAACCTGGGTTTATCGCCTGAGGCTGGGCCTGTGGCTGGGCCTGTGGCTGCTGGAGCCATTTCTTCCTGATCAGTGACCTCTCCCTCAGCAGAGAGCGACAGCTGGCGGGAGCAGCTGGCCCTGATTGCCGGCACAGCAGTTGTGGGTGTGGTGCTGGTCCTGGTGGTCATTGTCATTGCTGTCCTCTGCCTCAGGTAAGGGATCTGGGCCCCTGGAGGCCCTGGAACCTCTGCTGCGGGCTCCATGGTCCGGGCAAGTCTCTGGCTGCCCCTCCAGTCTCTTTTCATTTGGAATCTTTGCTGAACTTGAGTCCTGCCCTCTTCCAGCCCCTTTTCTTTCTTCTGCTGTGTGGGGATGGAACCTAGGGCTCACTAACACTGTGCAAACGCTGACCCATAAAGCTATATATACCCCAGCCCCTCCCCTGAGTTCTACAAAGTGTGTGACTCAGTTTACCTTTTGCTTCTTTCCCTTTGGCTGCAGGAAACAGAGCAGTGGGAGGGAAGCGGAATACTCAGACAAGCACGGGCAGTACCTCATCGGGCACGGTAAGCGCACCTGTCCTAAAGGAAGTCCAATCCAGTGGAAGTTACTTTTTAAAACAAATTTTGGCTGTAGTAGGGTTTGACTCCAGGGCCTTTCCACTGAGCTACATCCACAGATCCTTTATTTATTTGTTGGTTTGTTTGTTTGTTTATTGATACTGGGGATTGGACAGGCAGTGGCTTTTATTTCTAATTTTGAGACAGTGTCTCACTAAGTGGCTAAGTTGCCCAGGCTGGGTTTAAACTTGCCATCCTCCTGCCTCAGCCTCCCAGGGTGCTGGGTTTCCTGGAGGAAGTCACCTCTTGGCTAATGGGGTCCTGCGTCACTCTTCAGGTACAAAGGTCTACATTGACCCCTTCACTTACGAAGACCCCAATGAGGCCGTGAGAGAATTTGCCAAAGAGATTGATGTGTCCTACGTGAAGATCGAGGAGGTGATTGGTGCAGGTGAGGGACAGGAGGGCGCGCGTGGGTTGGGAAGGCAGGCGCAGGGCATGAAAACTGATCCTTGTGTCCTTCCAAGGCGAGTTTGGGGAGGTCTGCCGAGGGCGGCTGAAGGCCCCGGGAAAAAAGGAGACCTGCGTGGCTATCAAGACCCTGAAGGGTGGCTACACAGAACGGCAGCGGCGTGAGTTCCTGAGTGAGGCCTCCATCATGGGCCAGTTTGAACACCCCAACATCATCCGCCTGGAGGGAGTGGTCACCAACAGCGTGCCCGTCATGATCCTCACTGAGTTCATGGAGAACGGTGCCCTGGACTCCTTCCTGCGGGTGAGCTAGTGCCCCATCCCTGGGGTCCTAGAAGTGGGGAGACAGCAGGGCCCTCAATAGCTGCCAGCTTCGCTCCCTGGGCTTTAGACATCTGCTCTTGGGTTTTGTTTTATGATACTAGGATTGAACCCAGGGCCTTTGCACTGAACTACATCCTCACCCATTTTTATTTTTTATTTTGAGACAGGGTCTCAAAGTTGCCCAGGGTGGGCTTGAGTTTGAGATCTTCCTGCCTCAGCCTCCTGAAGAGTTTGGATTCAAGGCCTAGTTCTCATGCCCAGCTCTGCTCCTAAGTTTTCACTTAGGGAATGGTTGAGTCCCTGCATCTGTCCTGTCCCTGGTCTTTTCTGAAGGAGGTCACTCTTTCTTCTCACAAGTAATTACTAAGCATCTCCTGTTCACCAGCCACTGTTCCAGATCTGGAAATAAAGCCAGGAACATGGCAGACAGGATTTCTGCTCTTGGGAAGCAGAGAGCCTTGTGAAATTAACAAGTAAACAAATCTTTGCAACAGTAAAAAATATTGGGAGGCATCATGGGACAGTGGCTGGAGATGAGATCACTTTAACTGGTTTTACTGAAAAAAAATTATTTTTTAAACCTCACTAGGCATTTTTTAAAAAAATCAGGGCCAAGCATAATGGCAGAAACCTGAAATCACAGCACTGGGAGGCTGAGACAGGAGGATCACAAGTTTGAGCCCAGCCTGGGAAAAATTTGCTCCTTAGCAAAGCCCTGTCTCAAAAAACAAAAGAGAGGTAGGGATGTAGCTCAGTATGTGCAGGCCTGAGAGTTCAATCCTAACTGCCACCAAAAAAAACACAAAAGTATACATTTATACATTTCCCTAGTTCCTCCAATCACTTTTTGCTGGTTTATACAAACCAGAATGTGATTCAGGACCAGGTATTGGACCTGCGTTTTTCTGAGCTTCTAAATCCTGAGCACTGCTTTGCTGAAGAGCTGGGCCCTTTATCTCTGTGACCCTGGAATGTCCTGGGCTTGTGGGTGTCAGCACCCACCCACCATTTTGCTTTTGTGTACTTCCTGTAAGTGAAGCTCTCCAGTGTTCCGCGAAGTCAGAAGTTGAACGTTTGTGGCCAGACTTCAGGGGGCGCTGTGTGTCTCACTCAGGTCCCATCATGGGACACCCAATCTGGCTCCCACTGCGATGAGATAAAGCCCACAATGGCAGGTGGACAGCCCAACCCCTCCCCTGTGTTCTAACATTAATTAGGACTGTCCAAAGGTCACATTGCAAAATGGGGAGGAAGTAGATGGGAAAAGAGATGACATTAAGAGCCAGGTATGGTGGCTCTTAATCCAGAGTCCTGTAATCCCAGGACTCTGGGAGGCTGAGGCAGGAGGGTTGCAAGTTTGAGCCCAGCCTGGACAAATTAGCAGCTTAGCAAGCACGTGTTCCAAAGTAAAAAAATAAAAAAGGGCTAGGGATATAGCTCATTGTGAAAGCCCTGGGTTTGGTTCCTGGTGGGAAGAGCCAGTCCTAAGAAGATGGGAAAAGTGCATTTGGGGCCCAGAGTAGGTAGGAACCATTTAAGAAACAGGAGTACAGTGTGGCTGTACCTTGTGAACAGAGGGGTAATGGTGATTCGTGAAGTGGGGTTGGGAGGGGAGGCTTCAAGGGAGGCCAGGGCAGGACAGTGAGGTAACCGGAAGAGATCCCTGTGGCTGGGTGCTGGAACTATCACAGCTCTTTGGTCTTTGGGGTGGGGAGAGGTGGTTGAATTGGGGTCATACTTTGGAAGCAGAGCCAGCAGAATGTGGTAAGTGACAGCTAGTAAGGGAAGAGTCACAGGGGGCGCTGAGGTCCTGAGCTCACCACCAGCCAGGTGGCGTTGCAGGAACTGAGATGGGAAGCCCAGGACAGTGCGCATCTATAGGGTGGGTTTGAGTTTCGGGTTGGGCTCTGTCCCTGACTCTGCACGGCTGCAGAAGAGGTGTCCCCTGCACCTGGCTGAGTCCACAAGACAGGGTCAGTTAACTGGGTGCCCAGCTGGTTCACCTGTTGGGAACAAACACTGGAGAGTGAAGAAGGTTGGGCTTTAGGCCTCACCTGGGCACTGAGTACCTGTTTCTCACTGTCCTTGGGCAAAGCCATGCACACTTGGTCCAAGAGGGCTGAATGCAATTGCCTTTGGCAGCCTGAACTATAAAGTGAGACCCTGTCTGAAAACAAAGTATTACTTGAGTGTTTTCTGCATATAAAGCATTGTATGAGGTTAAATGGAAGAAAAATACTCAAAGGCATATCTTTATCGTCAATCATTAAGCATGTTGTGAGGTTATTGTGAGAGCTGGGAGAACTTAGGGTGACGGAGGAGAGCGCTCACCTGAGCGAGTTGGCAGGTTCCCCACAGGTGAGATGGCAGGTCTTGTAAGTGCCAGGTGCAGATCAGGAAGTGGGAGGGCGGGCATGGTGGGTGATCCTAACTGAGGCCCTCTGCTTGTCCACCCCACAGCTCAATGACGGGCAGTTCACCGCCATCCAGCTGGTGGGCATGTTGCGGGGCATCGCCTCCGGCATGCGGTACCTGGCCGAGATGAGCTATGTGCACCGAGACCTGGCTGCCCGCAACATCCTGGTCAACAGCAACCTGGTCTGCAAGGTCTCAGACTTCGGCCTCTCCCGGTTCTTGGAGGAGAATTCTTCTGACCCCACTTACACAAGCTCTCTGGTGAGGATGGGGACCAGGGATGAGCAAGGGTCTCAGGGCCACATGGGGAGGGCTGGTCCAGGGGGAGAATACGGGCACAGGCTGAAGGCAAACAGACTTCCAGGTATCTAGGAGGGGAACAGAGTTGGGGAGTTGGGAGCTTGGGTCCCAGAAAGAAAGAAGGCCAGAGGTAGGGGGAGAAGGCAGCTTTGGGGGAAGAGGGCAGCAGGCCTGGGTCTACCTTTTCCTCCTCCTTCCCAGGGTGGAAAGATTCCCATCCGATGGACGGCTCCTGAGGCCATTGCCTTCCGAAAGTTCACCTCAGCCAGCGATGCATGGAGCTATGGGATTGTGATGTGGGAGGTGATGTCTTTCGGAGAACGGCCATACTGGGACATGAGCAATCAGGATGTAAGTGTCCCATGACCAGAACAATGGCGTGACCTTTTCTGTGTGTTTTCTCACCTGGGATTGCAGTGGGGATGGGGTTCCCAGATTCATTCCTGAGTGGGAAGTGCCACAGAAGAGGTGATCTTCGCTTGGAAGAGTTTCATGCAGCATATTTGGGTCACAGAAGGATGCAGGAACAGAGGGCAGGGTTGGGAAGTTGCATGACCAGATTACAGCCCAAGATTTGCGAGGGTATCCAGCCACCATCCACTTTGGCCCAGCTAAAAGGACTCCCAGATCTGTCCTAGCATCAGCCAAGTCACCATTTACCCGAGTCCTCACCCAGGGCTTCTTCCTGTCATTCCAGGTGATCAACGCTATTGAACAAGACTACCGCCTGCCCCCGCCCCCAGACTGCCCCACCTCCCTCCATCAGCTCATGCTGGATTGTTGGCAGAAGGACCGGAATGCCCGGCCCCGCTTCCCCCAGGTGGTCAGCGCCCTCGACAAGATGATCCGGAACCCTGCCAGTCTCAAAATCGTGGCCAGAGAGAACGGCGGGTGAGACCCCAGAGAACGAGCCCTCTTCCCTCGGAGTCAGGGCCCGAGAGCCCCCTCCTGGCCCTTTGGTGGTATGTGGGGTGGTTCTCACGGAGCTCTCCCAGGCTGGGCTCAGTGTCTCCTTACTGGAGCCCGGGATTCAGCAGTCCACTCCTCCCCACCTCCCAGGGCCTCACACCCACTCCTGGACCAACGGCAGCCTCACTACTCAGCTTTTGGCTCTGTGGGCGAGTGGCTTCGAGCCATCAAGATGGGAAGATACGAAGAAAGTTTTGCAGCGGCTGGGTTCGGCTCCTTCGAGCTGGTCAGCCAGATCTCCGCAGAGTAAGTGGAAGAGAGCAGAGAAGCCAGAGGGCGCGTGGAAACATGGAGTATGGGGGTCAGACTTGGGCCCTCAGGTGCCTCTGGGGTCCACCTCTAGGCCCACGTAATCTCAGAGCAGCAGCAGTAAGGAAGTTGCTTAAGGCTATGTCCAGTGCAGCCCCCCCAGCAGAAGCACTTGAGGGGGTGAGAAGCGGGCTTCCTCCAGCCACCAGTGTCCACCCTGGCTCCTGGAACCTTCCCAGCCCTGGGTCACCGCCCTTCCTGCTCTAGTGCATATCTCTCTCTGCGCATCTATCTGCATTCCAGACCTAGCTCACACATAAACGTGTCAACTCTGCTGCTTTTTTTCCACCCATAAAAGGAGAACACTGGACAAGGTTTCAGAGATCCTTCCTGGCTTTAATGTTAAATGATTTTATGATTCTGTCAACTCCCAAATAACTTCTCCCTGGGTTTGCTGCTCTCTGAGACTTTGCATTTATCTCCCATGGCCTCTGTTTACCTGAGACTTGAATACTGTCTGACCCTGCCCCACCGGGCCCTCTTCTCTCTAATCTGTCGCCTCTGTTCTCCATTATTAGCACCTCTTCTTTTTTACCTTTACCTTTATCTCTGGTGTCCAGGCACCAGGCGACTCCCCTTCCCCCACCTAGTTCTTTCTCTCTCTCTCTCTCTGGCTCTTTATTCTCACTTCTCCTTTATTCTCTAAAGCAATCTCTGCAGCCCTTTTCCCCAACCTCATTTCGAAGTCTTGTCTACCTTCCTCCTCTCCCGGCCCCACCCCCTAGGCCCCTGCTTGGTAGAGACAGCCCCCCCCCACACACACACACACTGCCTTCTGTGGCTGGGCAGGAGGATCCTCAGCACCTTAAATCTTCCAGAAACTGCCCTGCCACTATTGACATCATTCTGCCTTACTTCCCTCACCCCAAGCTGGCCTTTTCATTGGCTGACAATCCTGGGTCACTGGAAGGGTCTGGGACTAAGTAAGGTGTGTGGGTCTTTGAGCCTTAGAGCTCATGGAAACCTCCTTTCTTTCACAGGGACCTACTCCGGATTGGAGTCACTCTGGCAGGACACCAGAAGAAGATTTTGGCCAGTGTCCAGCATATGAAATCCCAAGCCAAGCCTGGAATTCCAGGCGGGACGGGAGGACCAGCCCCGCAGTACTGACCTGCAGGACCCCTTCTCCCCAGAACACGACCTCGCTTTCTTCCGGGGACAGAGTCGGGTGGGGACTCATAGAGATCCCCAGCCCTGCGCCCTGCTGGATAGCACTTTGAACTCGTGGGGGTGGGGAGTTGGCAATTTGGAGGGAGGCTTTTGTGGGGACTGTGCCACTTGAGAGGGTGGAAATGGCTTTCTTTCCCCTCCAGGCAGGAAACCCAGAGCCAGAGTGAGGGTACCTTTCCCTCAGGACTGGGTGTGGCCAGAGGAAATGGAAACACCCTTAATCTTCTGGCTCCCCAGGTGCTCCTCCTCACCTTGAGGGCAAGTCCCTGCAGACCAAAGATGGGGTGACCAGCCTGCCAGTTTGGGAGTGGAAGAGCTCTGTCCCAGGAGGCAGGAAGTGGTGTCACAACCCAGTGACACAATCATTGGGCTTTGATGTCCCAACTTGTTGCTGCCACCACCCAGACACAATCATCCTTCCCTTGTAAATGACCCTTCCCCATCTGCTGCCTTCATATTGAAGGTTCATGAGATTTTGTTTCGTTTTTGGTCTTATTTTTCCTCCTTCCCCTTTTTATTTCTTTGTTGTTTTTCTAGTGTCCATGTCCTAGTTTTTGTGTTGGAGGGCACCTGTTTCACCAGCTCCTCCTTTGCCCACATTGCAGTGGACCCATTGAGGGGTCCGTTTCCAGAACAGTGCCTTGGCCTAGAAGGTTCACTGCTCCCCAAGCACCCCAAGCTGTGTCCATGAGGGGGTGCGGGAGGAGGTAAAGGGGCAGGGGGTCGGTGGTGGGAACCAGAGACAGACACCCGGTGCTTGGAGGGGTTCTTAAATTATATTTAAAAATTAAAAAGAAACTTTTTTTGTATAAATAAAAGAAAATGGGCCATATCCCAGTTCTGGGGGCGTGTGAACTAAATTTCCAAAGAGTGTGGGGTCCAGACGATGGGAGTGGGGTGAGGGCCTGGGTGCTTGGTTCCCAGCTCCGGGGTGGGGTGGTGGAGTGGGGCTGTGGTAGATGAGTCACTGGCAGCTGCTTTTAACTGCTCCAGCTGGCAGTGCCAAGTGCCTGGGGCAGCTCTGGGGTGGGGCTGCCCCCTTCCAGCTTCTCCTGGTTCCTTTTAGCCCTAGCAGGGGGCTGTATAGAGGAAGGGGGAGTTGAGCTCATAGCCCTGCTGCAGCCCCCTGTGAGAGGAGGGGACAAAGGCTGGGGGGAGTGTCTAGTGGGGGGGGAGACAGATGTGGGCCAGATGTCGGCAGCTGGGGTTGGTTTAGCAGCAGTGGGGGAGGGGTGGGCAGGGAGTGGCTCCGGGGAGACCCCACATGTGCAGCTGGCACTGAGGACAATTCCCCCATTCAATCTGCTTCTCAGGCAGGTTCTCCTGGCCTCGTGGGAAGGAAGGGGGCTGCCTTCATGTGTTTGCCCCAGCTTCTCCCAGACAGGAAGAGGAGGCCTGGGTCTATCTCCCCCGCCCCTATTTCCCCCCTCGTCGGGACACCTGCAGGGGCAGGCCTGGCTTTGTGAGAGCAGCTTTCTCACCTTGGCCACTCAGTCGCCCCCTGTTGTCATCTAGGTGTCAGTGCAGTGCCTCCCCACCCAGGGAGCCTGTCCATGGTTTCCTTCCTCTATAGCCCTCTTCTGGAGTCCCTAACATTCTGGAGTCCTCATTCCATCTCTCCCTTGGGGACACAATGCTCCTGTTTTCTACCTCAGAGTGGCAGAGAAGGACTCAGTCCTGCCAAGGGAGAGTCCATTCAGCGGAGGCTGCCCAGCCAAGCGTCTTCCTCTCCAAATAGACATCCGGGCTAGATAAAGTGACCTTGGAGAGCTGATTTGGGAGGAATAAAGGTCAAGGGCTCAAAGTAGACACAGCCAAGAGTCAGAGGAAAACTAGGTGGGGACCAGGTGCCTTGTGCTTTCCTGGAGTAGATTGCTCCCTCTAAGGAAGGGAAAAAAACTACCGGCAGGGTTTTTGGAACCCTTTGCCCACCTGGGTTGGGTCTCACTTCCTTCACGGGGAAGTCTCCTGCAGGGCTGGTGGTCTTGGAGGATATGCATAGAGTAATATAATCATGCTGGTGTCCTGCCTGCTTCCACAATTCCAGGCCCAAGTCCCCTGTCCCCACCCTACCCCAGCAGGTCAATGGTTCAACCTCTCCCCTCAGGTGAGGATCAGCTGGGAGAAGGAGACCTAGGGAGCGCTGGGTAGGGTGCAGAGCTCCTGCTCCCAAGCCTGAGCCCATCCCATCTCAGTTCCCATAGTAACTGGGGGGGCTAGAGAGTGGGGGCTGCCCCATAGGGCCACCCTCTGAGAAATGTCCCTGCCTCTTAAAACTTCTCAGAATGACCTCTCATTCCCTTTGGCAAGGAGCTCAGAGGCTGCATCCTCTAATAACCAGGATTTCTAGCTAGGCGTGATAGCACACACCTGTCTGGTAACCCAGCACTCTGAGAGGCTGAGGCAGGAGGATTGCACCTTTAAGCCCAATTTGGGAAATTTAGCAATTTAGTGAAATTTCAAAAAGGGGCTTAGTCCAGGCTGGTCTTGAACTCATAGCGATCCTCCTGCCTCAGCCTCCCGAGTGCTGGGATTATAGGCGTGAGCCACTATGCTTGGCCTGGCCTCAGAATTTTAAAACAATGTCTAGGTAGCTGGGTCTGTTGGTGAATTCCTTTAATCCCAGTACTCCAAAAGCTGAGGCAGGAGCACTGCCACAAGTTTGAGGCCAGCTTGGACTACATAGTGAGTTCAAAACCACTCTGAACTACATACCAAGGCCCTGTATCAAAAAACAAACAGAGTCAACCCATGTGGCTGCCGCCGCATAAGCACAAGGTCCCAAATTTGACCCCCAGTACCAAACAAACAAACAAAAAACAACAAAATGTCTATGGTGGTAGCTCAACGAGAAGGTGTTGAGTTCAATCTCCAATACCAAAGGGAAAAAAAGTGCAAATGCACACAATTCTTGACCCTACACTTCCACTTCTAAGAATTTGTCTTATAGACAGCCATATACATAAAATATCATGCATGCACAGGCCTTTACCTTGTCTGCAATATTGACTGCAATAGCAAAAACTTAGAAATCACCACAAAGTCCATCAAAAAGAAAGCAGTTAAATAAATTTTGATAGGGCAGGGATGTGTCTCAGCGATAGAACACTTGCCCAGCAAGTATGAGGTCCTGAGTTCACTGCCCAGCACCACAAGAAGAAAAGACAATTTATGATATAATACAGTAATGGAAGCTAGGGTGTGGAGACACATTCCTATAATCCCAGCACTCAGGAGGCTGAGGCAGAAGGATCAGAAGTATAAGCCCAGACTGGGCAATTTAGTGAGAACCTGTTTCCTAAGATAAGAAGGGCTGGGAATGTAGCTCTGGGAAAAGGCCCTAGGTTTAATCCCAGTACTGCAGAAGATGAAAAAAAAAAAGAGTAAATAAACAAGTAGCTTATTTTATCAATTTGTTTGAGAACAACTCAAAAGTGAGTGACTTTGCAGGTAAGTTCTGGAACAATGTCTGAGGAGGATGCAAGAAAATTTGTGTCAGGCACAGAAGCCACTTCTGGCCACCCAGGTCCTGGATTCGAGGCTGGCTCACCCGGGGTCGGCAGCTGGGCTCCAGGCTCCGTCTGGACCTGTGTTTTCTCCCTAGCGGAGGGTGAGGAATGGACGGAGATGTGAGATCTCCTGGCACCCCAGGCCCCAGCCACAGCCACCCCGCCAAGAGCTCACCTCCTTTTCCCTCTCCTCCTGCTCTTCCGGTTCTTCCTGCAATGGCACTCCCTCCTCAGCATGTGCACTAGGACTGTGACAGGCATGAGCATGCTCAGCAGAATGGCCACTATGTTGGGTTCTGGGCACAGGAAGAGAAACAGCAACATCAGAGTGGAAGGGGCAAGGAGGTACAGGAAGAGGAGTCCTTCTTGGTCCTCAGTTGCTACTCTGAGGGACCTCATCCCCTTACATCTCTGGTTGGTGGCTAATTCCCTCTTTAGAACACTGTCACCCCCAGGGACAGCAAGGCCATAGTGCCACCCACCCCTAGTAACCTGTTCAGTTTCCCATAGGCCTTTTTAGGGCTGCTCATCCAGTGGGCTCCTACATCCTGGCAGCTAGGGAATTCCTTCTCCCAGCAGCATCTGTTCATCCCAGCGCTGGCTGAGATGCAGATGTCTGGCCCCCTCAGGACCCAGCCACAGGCAGGGGAAACCCAGGAAACCTTGGGCCCAAAGGCATGGTGGAATCTGAGTTTGGGGTAGAGAAAAATAGAAAAAGGTATTGGAGAGAAACAGAGTGGCAGAGATAGGTAGTCAACAGGGCAGGCACAGAGAGGTGAGGGGCAAGAACTGGGATTCAGAAAGAAGATTCCAGAGTTGGCATGTAAGTGGTGGGCATGGGGACCGATCAAACACTCCCATGGCCCACAGATTTCTATGGATCTTTTGTTTTTTGTACTGGGGATTGAACCCAGGGCCTTTGCACTGGGCTGTTTCCCAATCCTTTGTAAATTTTTATCTCTTTTAATTTTGAGGCAGGATCTGACTAAGTTGTCCTGGCTGGGCTTGAATTTACCATTCTCCTGCCTCAGCCTCCCAGAACGGTAGGATTATAGGAATGTGCTGCCACTCCTGGCTCTAGGGTTCATATTATAATATGATCCCTATAATATTATAGGTGATATATAACAACATGAACAATATATTGTGTATTATATCTACTAACATATCTCTCTACATAATAGGTATCTATGGTACATATGATAATAATGTGTTAATATTATACCTATAGAATCATTGTAGCTCTTGTCCGTGGGTGTGGGCCTGGGATGTGGCCCTTATCTTTCTCTTTGTGGGGTGGGACATCCTGAGGCTCTGTGCAGAAGATGCCCCCATAACCGGGTTCACACTCGCAGGTGAAGTTGGACCCCTGGTCCTGACACCGACCATCATTCTGACAGGGGTTCCACAGCCATGGGCTTTCTGCGGGATGGAGGGGGATGGCCCTGAAGGACGCTCAGAGCAGGAGACACTGACTGGGGGCTGGACCCCAGAGAGCAAAGCACGGACTCCCAGAGCCTGGCTGGAGGTCAGGCCCCCAATCCTGCCCCCAGCCCCACTATAGGCCTACGCCCTGGGGAAATTGCTTTACCTACCCCTACCCCCTTTTTTTTTAATGTGCTGGAGATTCAGGGCCTCTGCACTGAGCTACATTCCCAGCCTTTTTTAAATTTTTAAACTTGAGACTGGGTCTCTAAATTGCTAAATTGTCCAGACTGGGCTTTTGTGATCCTCCTGCCTCAGCCTCCCAGAGTGCTGGGATTACAAGCCTATGCCACCACCTAGCTTGAACTCCATTTCCACTAATGGGGGTTCTGTGGTTGCCCCAGGAGTCCTTGCCTTCACAAGGACTAAAGGAGATCCTGGGACTAGGCTGGCAGGGAGCAGGAATAAGTCCTTTCCTGACATCAGTGTGGGAGTTCCAGGCAGAGGACAAGGAAGTATGATCCTGGCCCCAGGGCTCCTCCCCAGGGTCACAGGACAGCCTGGAGCAGGGGGAGCCCAGGCTAACCCCAGAAGCAGCCCCGAGTGACGTTAGCCAAGGTGCAGATCTCCCCGGTGCTGCAGCTGAAGGGCTCACACTGCAGGACCTCGGAGCTGGCACAGGTGCAGCGCAGAGAGAAGTCCTCAGCCACGAAGCTGTCACCCAGCTGGAAAAAAAGAAGGGCCAGGGTGCAGTGGGGGGCTCTGGCTTCATCAGTGCCTCAGCTCCCCAGGGCCTCCCGTGCCAGCCCAGACCTGGTAGTAGATGCCGTTGGTGGTGCAGCCACAGTTGACCAGGGGGACGCTCTGGGTACTGCTGTAGGCATAGCCCGGGAGGCTGGCACAGCCTTCCACATAGGGGTCCTCACATTCCCCAGGGGCCACCAGTTTGGCACAGGACGCCAGGCAGGGTGTCATGCAGCTCTGGTACACGGTGTTGGGTGGACAGGCCATGGCTGAGGGGACACAGGCATAGTCAGGAGCTGGGGCCAGCAAACAGCCCACAGTGGAGCAGGGGCTGCAAAGTCAAGGGGACAGAGCTGCCTGGGGGCTGGGAAGCCAGAATGAGCACCGGGGACATGAAAACAGCTGTAGGAACTTGACAAGCAAAACTGGAGTGGCGAACAGGAGGAGCAGGGTGGGGTGACTGGCAGGAGGAGGCTTCCAGGGGGGACAGAGAAGCAGTTGGGCTGGAGAGAGGCCCTGCCTCAAACTTGCTGTGATTGAGGGATGAGGGACACAGGGAGCTAGATGGGAAGCCTCGGGTGAGGACGAGATGGGAGAAGAGTTGGGCAGGGGTGGAACAGCCAGCAGGGGCAGTGCTCACCGCAGTGGGTATGGTTCCGCCAGCTGGCCAGGCTGGCACCTGCCTCCTGGCAGATAAGGGCGTACCCACTGAGGACCTGGCATTGGAGCTCCTCTTGTTCTTTGGGGTCCCGAGTGGTACACAGATCCATCACACAGTGCCTGGGCAGAGGGGGACTGTCAGGGTCAGGGAGGTGACAAGAAGAGGGTCTGCACCCCGAACAAGAAGACCCCAGGCGGAGTTGGGGGCCAAGCCAAGTTGGAGGGCATCACTGGTACTAAGCAGACACAACTGAAGGCCAGAGCCGGCTGGGCCCTTCCCCCACATCTTGGGCACTGACTCACTCCTGGGAGGGCTCCGGGGCCACAGTGTGATGACAGGCAGCAAAGGGACCCTGCGGGTCCCCCAGCACCCCACAGGCCTGGGTGCCATTGACGAGTGCCAGTTGCTCCGGGCTGCACCGGGACCCTGCGTAGGAGCCTGACTCTTCTTCTTCCTTCTCTTCCTCCGCTGGGAGGGTCCTGGAGCAGAGAAGCCAGGCCAGGAAGGGCCTTGAACTTGGGGAGAGTCCATAGGCACTCGGGGTTTCCAGGGAGCAGGTGTGTGCCGAGGACCAGAGGGGTGGCTGTGCTCACTCACAGTCTCTAGGCCCCAGCCCTCACCTTGGGAAGCGGAGGTGGACATCGTTGCTCTTCACCTCCCAACTTTTGCCAAAGGCACTGACGCTACAGGTGAGCGCGCCGCTGGGCAGCGTGAGGTCGTTCCTGTGGTCGCCATCGTAGTTCCCACACAGGCCACGCACCAGCCTCTGGTACATGCGGGGCAGGGAGATCACAGTAGGAGAAAGGGGGGCCTGCAGTGAGCCTCTCCATCTGAGGACCCCATTCTCAGGCAGGACTCAGCTCCCCACGGTTTGCCTGAGGGCTCTTCCGCCTTGCCATCCCACAAATGCACCTCTCTCAGGTACCTGCATTGTTCCTTCCGTCAAAGCTGAGGACCAGCTTGAAGTCTGTGATCAGATACAGCCGCTGGCCACGCAGGGTAACCCGTAGGTGCTCATTGGGCCTGTAGGGCATGGCCATCTTCTGGCTGTTGACCTGGACAGGGAGGACAGGAGCTGCTGGATTGCCTGGCTTCGCCCACATCTCCTTCTCTACCTGCTTTTCTTTTTTCTTTCTTTTTTTTTGGTGGTATTAGGGGTTGAGCCCAGGCCTTTACATTGAGCTACATTCCCATTTTGAGCTCACTGAATCACTAGATTGCCCAGGTGACACTTGGGATCCTCCTGCCTCAGCCTTCTAGAATGCTGGGGATTACATTCCTGCACCATGCCCAGCCCAGGCTGCCCTCTTACTAACCAGAAGCACCAGATCCTTCTGGAACTGAACTTTGTAGCCGTAGACAGTTGTGATCACTTCATGCAGGAAGACGGGGCCCGTGGGCGAGTACATCTTGTTGCACCCCTCCACGACCAGGTGCTGCATGCTGTCTGGGAGCGCGCTCACCGTCTTTACCAGGATGTAGGTCATGCGGCCCTGGAAGCGGTAGCTGCGGCCGTCAAACGTGTGGCAATGGGGGTCCCCGAAGATGGAGCAGTATTGTGACTCTGCCAAGAAGAGGAGCACAGACACACGTCCCTGGAAGCTAACCCCACAACAGTGCCTCCTGTCGCCCCCTCTTAGGCCCAGCTCCCTAGATACTTGCACTTTGACTTTCTCTCCAGGCCCCATGAACCCTTACTGTGGATCTTCTCATCCTGCCCTTTTGTCCCTGAGGTAGGGGACACCGAAGGCTCAGTAATTGAAACATGGCACGGTTGGTGACAGCCCCAGTTCAAAGCCAGACTGAGCCCCTGCTGCCCAGCCGGCCACTCCCCCCAGCTTCCTACTTTTGGGGCGCAGTTGCTGTCCCCGTCTTCGCTGTGCTGGCAGTGGGACCCAGGAGGGCAGTGGAAGGCCCAGCACTGAACGATTCCTTCAGAGCAGGTGCAGCTCTGGGTGCAGCCGCTGGAGATCCAGGTCTTGCCTGCCTGTAGGAGCCACCAGAAGAGAAAGGAAGTGAGGGCAGGTGTGGTGATGCAAGCCTGTGATCCCAGAACTCGGAAGGCTGAGGCAGGAGGATTGCTGCAAGTTCAAACTCAGCTGGGGGCACATAGTGAGTTCAACCTGCACTACCTACACTACAAAGCGAGACTATATATTTTTTTTAAAGTCCCTGTATGGGGCTGGGGACTTAGCTCAGCGGTTCGGTGGCCTGTCTTGCAAGCGCAAGGACCTGAGTTCAATCCCCAGTACCAAAAAAAAAAAAAAGTCCCTGTATGAACACGTACAGTCTGTCTATCTCTCTCTTTCTTTCTGAGACAGAGTCTACTATGTAGCCCAGGGTGGCTATTATACTGGCTATTAGAAGTCACCCAGAGACAATTTAAAGTCTGCAGGAGTACACGTGAAGACCCTGTGTAAATGCTAGGCCATTTGACACAAGGAACTGGGCCTCCATGGGTTTTGGCATCCTTGGCGGGCCTAGAACCAGCTGCCCTCATGGAAACCCAGGGACAGGTGTAAATTGCCCTGGCCAGAGGCAGTTCCCATTGGGCCTCTGTCCCCACCTCCCCCACAAGCGCTGTGCTTGGTGTCTTCTGTATCTGTTCAGGGGGTGCCACACAGTTTGCAGATGACGAAACTCAAGACCGGGTCCTCCTGCACCAAGGCCCGGACCTTTGCACTCTGCCCTGTGTACCAAACCCAAACTGTGGACCCCCCCCCACCCTTGCTCCCCAGCATCGGCCACAAAGGCAGGGTGCCTGGCTGAGGGAGGGTGACAGTGCCGTCCTCAAGAGCTACACCCCACCCCCGCCACCGTTCCCATCCACTCACAGGGATGAAGCCACCCTGGGCATCCTTGCAGCCACAGTGACTTCTGGGCACACATTTGTCCTCACTCAGCACATAGCCGGGCTGACAGACACAGCCCTCAGAGCAGATGGAGGGCACCTTGGCACCCTCGCAGTGACCACCCAGGTCCCAGCAAGATGGAGGGCAGGACGGAATGCAGGTGGTATAGCTGCTGTGCGCCGGGCACTCCAGAGCTGCGGGCAAAGGGGAGTGTGAGTGGTGAGGGCCAGAGGCGCCGGAACCAGGCTAGGGTGGAGATGGTGACCAACAGTCTGGGGCTTCTTCTTCTTCTTTTCCTTATTCATCCCACAAATGTTTACTAAGCACAGGCTGTGCGTCAGGAGAAGAGAGAAGAATATCCACCCAGGACCAAGCCTATCAGCCAGCAACAGCAGCGTGACCTTGGGGTTTAGAAGTCAGTGTAGCACTGGCAGATGTGTGCAGGCTTAAAGGGGCACCGAACACACAGGTGTTAACTCTGTTGAGGGAGGTAAAGAAAGCCCTTTAAGCTGGTCATGGTGGTGCACACATGTAATCCCAGCACTTGGGAGACTGAGGCAGGAGGACAGTTAAGTCTGAGTCCAACTTAGTGTCTCCGTGAGACCTTGTCTCAAAATTTTAAAATGAGGGATGGGGATGTCGCTCAGTGTAAACGTCCTGGGTTCAATCCCTAGTACCTCCACACACACAACAAAAAAGTATTTAAGGGAAAGAAGTTGTGAACATGGAACTGTCATGCCTAACCTGAGTGAGACCCTCTCCTCTCAACAAACATGCAGCCCTCAACAAACAACAGGAAACCACTAAAGGGCCCCACTGTCTTCAGTAAACAGAACAGATGGCCATAAAGGAAATTTAGGACAGAACAATCTCCCTGGTACTGACAAGCCTGGTATTATCTGCACACCTGCACTAACAGTCCTGGGCACTCTGACCCTAGGTATCTAATCTCAAATTCCTCAAAATTACAATTCCCATCCCCAAATTCTACAAAAACAACTTCTCTTCTGGTTAGCTGCTGACATCCTTTCTTGATCTCAGCTTGCCTGCACCCAGGCAGAGTAAATCATTTCTTATTGCTCACACAAAGCCTATGTCTGGGTGATTTCTCATGCACCCATTTGTCATAGAAACATTCATTTAATATGATCCCAATAAAATGGACCAACAAGTTGTGTGTGTGTGTGTGTGTGTGTGTGTACATGTATGTGTTTAATGGGATATGGTAATTATGAAGGTGCAATGAAAGTTAAGCAAATTACAAAGATTAGGGAAACTTTTAGAAAGAATAGTGATTAGTGAGGTGACTTTGTCAAAAATTATAATACTTTTTTAAAATTTTTTGAGACAGGGTCTCACTATGTAGTTCAGGCTGGCCTTGAACTCACAATGATCCTCTTGCCTCCATCTCCCAAGTGCTGGGATTAGGGCCAGAGATTTAGCTCAATGGTTCCACCACCTGCTTCGCAAGTACAAGGTCCTGAGTTCAATCCCAGGTACCAAAAAAACAAAACAAACAAACAAAGTATTGGGATTATAGATATGCACTACCATACATAGCATAAAACACATTTTAGATTCTTATGATGACAACATTGCATCACTGGCACATGTAGATATAGATGGGCTAATGGAACAGGTAAGAAAACTCAGATTTGCATTCAGCTGTATTTGGGAATTTAGTATATGACTAATTAGGGCGTCTCAGTGACTAGTCATTTAGTAACAAGGGAACAACTTGCTAGTGTTCCAGAAAAAAAAAAAAAGTGGATTTATATCTCATACTCTTGTAGACAGCTTAGTTAGAAATATTACAGGGAGTCAGACGGCTGGGTCCTGAAGTCAGTGCGGAAGGCAACTGTGCCTGGAGGTACATTCATTGAAGGTTTAAGACGGAGAATTGACAACACCCACATACATCCCATCCTGTAGGGATGAAGAACAGTGATTGACAACCTAAACAGGCATCGATCACCTGGGTGGGGAATGAAGACCTTAACCCATCCCTTCCAGGAAAAATCCTTATTCCTTCCATGTACCCTTGCTACATGACCTGCTTCCCCATTTGGTCCCCATTTAATCAATCTTACCTAAGTGACTACACTTGTAATCTCATTGGTTGACCATAGTTTTGTCCCACCTTATACCCACCTTGTGCTTTTCCATTAGATCAATATTACCTAAGCAATTATACTTGTAATCTTATTAGTTAACTGTAGTTTTGCCCCACCTTATACCCACCTCACCTTTGGTTTTGCTCTATAAAACTCCCTTGAGGAGTGAGCTCAGCTGGCAACCCACTTTCTGGGTCCCCTTTTGTGGCTTAGACAGAAGCTATCTTTCTCTCAATAAATTCTTCCTACTCTTAACTTCTGTTTTTCCTAGAATTCATTCTTCAGTTTTAGAAAACATGAACTTGGCCTCCGAATTTTATTTATTTATTTTATTTTATTTACTTTTTTTTTTTTGAGACAGGGGTCTCACTATGTAGTTGAGACTGACCTGGAACTCACTATGTAGTCCAGGCTGGTCTTGAACTCATAGCGATCCTCCTGCCTCAGCCTCCCGAGTGCTGGGATTATAGGCGTGAGCCACTATGCTTGGCCTGGCCTCAGAATTTTAAAACAATGTCTAGGTAGCTGGGTCTGTTGGTGAATTCCTTTAATCCCAGTACTCCAAAAGCTGAGGCAGGAGCACTG